CTGCCGAAGTTGCCCTCACGTGCATGCGAACATAATTGCACGACCGAGGCACCAGCCGGGACGCTTGCAATCCATTGTTCTACGTTTGCTTACTTTTGACGAAAATCTGGCACGTCGGGAAACCAGTAAAACGGCGGCAAGCGGTTTTTCGGAATTGCTCGGCAATGCCTACAGCACTGTGCACTTGTGGGATGTCTCAGCAATAAAAAATACAGGCAGTGAATTTCATCCCAACGCGTCACACAGAACACAAAGTGCACTTTGTTTGTACAGCACTTAAAACAAATATTTTTATTTTTCTAAGAATATCTGCTTTAAAATCCATTTTTGCTGCTCCGAAACACTGTTCTGGCTGCTCCAAAGGCCACATTTACTGCTCCAAAACGCTGTTTTGGCTGCTCCGAAAGGTGCTCCAAAATGGCTTAGGCCAATCACATCACTGGGAGTTCGATACAGAAAAACAAGGCTTCTATACTATTACATGTGATTTTCAAGGGGCTCTTTGGACTGTTCGATATAAACAATGATTCGAAATACCCAAATGTGATATAACAGGCCTCGACTGTATGCGCAAAAGGGTACCAAAATGGCGAATGTAAACAAACGGTCACGAACAATGGCGACTGGGCTAGCCACCTTACACCGAGTATTGGGTTTTTCTTTTTGAGTTTCGGTTTTTGGTTTCGGTTGTAACGTGCATGTATTTTTGGGCACCAATTTTGGAAAAAAAAAACTGCGTTACAATTGTGCAAACACGGTATTGGGCAAAAAATTTTCTTTTCCTCAGACATTCATCTTGAGACATGCCTGTCCTAACCAGGTAGAAAAAGACATTTTTCTTTCTAGGTTCAGTGTTTCTTTAACATAACTTGCATGACTTTTTTTTATTTCGAAAGATAAAAATAGACACCTTGTATATCATTATAGTCGGTGAAAGGTTAAGAGTGAAGTGGAAGCTCCTCCCACCCCTCTCCCTTTTGGCAGAGCGAACGCTGGATAGGAGATGACCTCCTCTCCAGCATTTGCTCTTTTAAAGTGGAAAGAGGTGGGAGGAGCTTCCACTTTACCCCATAACATTATTACGATGTACACTAAAGGTGCAACTGGCACTAGTGTTTTGTTGCAAATTGAAGCAGACGGCAACCAGTCGAAAACTGACTTCAGGTAATGCGTTTCTATGAAAAAAATTGAGTGCATTTTCTCCCTGCGCTCGATTACAAGAGCAAATATCGTGAATAATTTGTGCGTACTAGATAGCTTGAAACATTTCTCAGTCAGGCAGACAAAATAATTGGTCAGTTACGGCGTTTTTCTTTCAAATTTATTGTATTAAAAACGACTCCGTACAAGCATTTATGTGCACTGTCGGACACTGTTAGTGCGAACACGGCGTCGGTGCCTTTCAGCATGGGGGATATTTGTGCCAAACGAATAAAGGACATCTGGAAAACCAAGAGACTGCAAGAACTATGCAGTAATACAGGATAAGTAACTCCCTGTGCATATAGATGATCAAAATACATTGAAGGTCAGAGTCAGATTTGCAATAAATCAGTACTGCTTTATTCTTTCTGCTCATGAATATGTGCAAAGATGCTTGTTCTGCGTTGAAAAAATAACATCACCCGCACGCTCAGAATCTTTGAAAATAGTTAGACGCCAAAGAACAAGTGCTCAAAGAAACACCTTTCATAACACACATACCTTATACTTAACATTTTGAATGTTTTTAATCGCTCGGAAAGATGCACAAGGGGTCATTTCCATATAGTGACAGGACGGGTATATTGGCACTATATAAGCACCACTGGAATGCTGGCGAACCTTGGACGCACTCTACCTTCCTTTCGATTGTTATTTGTTTAGAATCGTTGCTCGTTTTTATGCACCTGCTATGGAACGAGGTTTGGGCCTTATATACAGGGTATTCCACGTAACTTGAGCCAATTTTTAAAAATATTTTGGTGCGTTTTAGGAAGACGAAACCAAAGAAATAAGCATGTTCATTGTTTAGAGCAAGCCAGGCTATTTTTGTATCTTGCCCAATTAAATAATTACCACTGAATTGGATGTTTCTGAACACACTCTACAACTTTGTCATTGGAACTTTTGCTCTGAACTGAATATTTCAAAATTTCATTAATTCTTAATTTATTATCTTATTGGGCAAAATACAAAATATAGCCTGACTTGCTCTAAACAATGAACATGCTTATTTATTTGGTTTTGTCTTCCTAAAATACACCAAAATATTTTTAAACCTTGGCTCCAGTTACGTGGAATATCCTGTATAGCAAAGTTGTCTATTCGCGACTCCAGCGACCTATAGGGGGCGCCACCACCAAACAAACATGGCGGCTGAGTCCAGGTCGCGTCGGCTCGGCCGGGCCGCCTGAACAGGTGGCGCGTTCAACTTAACAGATTTTCTTTTGTTTAAAGCCCAATTTTATAGGTATTTGAACTTGCAGAGCATAGTTTTGTTTTCCAATTGTGTTTTTTGTTCTTTTCATGTCAAACTTTCGTTTCGGAGATTTCGTTCGAAACCGAAACTATGGGCTCTGGAGAGACGGTAATATACTAATCAGTTTTGATCATCTAAGGAAAGTGGCAATGAATGCAGAATTCTCCCACCGACAGTAATTTTCAGCCAACTCGCATGCCTCGTCCATGCGACTTATCTGTCCGCGAAATCGAGGTCTTGTGCGTATCCGCGTTTAAGAAACAGCTTCAGTCGTATGCTCGGTCAACAACACCGGCTGCAGGAAAATTACGAAAATTAAGCAAGCGCTTCTTGAGCCAAGGAGCATGTTAACCTGCCGGTACCCCACTAAGCAGCTGATACTCGTTTTTCAATTCAGGTTTTAGTAGCAATCGAGAAGTCATTTTGACGAGCGGGTTATGTATTATATTACGTACTATGTCCCACTAAAGCGATATTAGTATATTCTTCGGTTTGAAATATGAGCTTAGTTAACTAGCTATTAGGTGAACTGCTGAATAAAAATATATTTGACAGACAAAGAGATACTAAGTTAAACTTAACCAAATGGTTCTAGCCGGTAGCACGGAGACGAACGAGGACAAACTGAAGAGAGTCTTCATTGGAGATTCACACAGAACCTCTCTGCATTGAACTTGACTTCGAATCCTGAACAGAAAAAATGAGTATTTTTGTGGTCGGTCAACCTGAGCAATGTAGACGTATATTGCTGCTGGCTTAATTTGACGGGGTTATAATATAAATATTGGAGGCGCGATAGATCATAATGACGTGACAGCTTCTAACGTTGCGAGACGCGTCCCCCACCTTTTGAAAACAGATAATTTCCCTCATTCATCATTTCCAGCGAGCAGGTTTTCCTGAATCAAGTAATTGCGAAATCAGCCCAACTTCTTCAGAGTGGTCCAGAGGATTTTTCGGCGAAAAGCAGCCAAGATGAATAGCCAACGCACCGACCGGCGTGAGTGGCTCAAACTTGAAGCTAATCGAACACAACCAAACTCAAGAAAAGCAGCTATCAAACCTTCCCATTCCCCTGACTGCAACATTGGTGTTCCCTCCAGTGAAATGCCTCGTCTGTCGTCCCCCTACTGTTCTACATCCTCATAAAGAAACCCCTTATCAGTTACCAAGTAGTCATCATTTTGAATGTGATTCGAGACAGACAAGAAATCAAAACGTTTTTTCCGCGATTCCTCCCCATCCAAGAAATCGAAAACACGTGATCGAAGGAAACAATCTACTGAGGTTTCGCCACACTAATGAACACTCAGGCAAACATAAGAAATTCCTGGACCTTCGTTAAATTACATTGTTCACCGTTGCGCCGACAACACGTGTCCGCGAAAGCCACCAGAGACACAAAGGGGCGCGAAGCGACCTGGACCGGCTGGTTCCCGGTTTTCCCGCTTGGTGGCGTCCGTTTTGCTGGAGTCGCGAATAGTGAAGAAAAATTCTTTACTAGAAAATGTACAGAGAAGAGCACTTTGTTTTATTTTTAATAAATACAGTCGCCTGGAACCTGTCTCCGCTTTTTATGATCGGGCCGGTCTGCTCCCGCTTTAAAATGAACGCAAGGTGGACAGGTTGAAATTTTCTAAAGCTTAATTTCTGGTCATGTAAATTTAGATATACATATCTGTGTACCTCACGCCACTCACAGTCACGCAATACTACCCACCCAGGCATCGAAACAGCAAGGCGTTCGCTGAATATAGTTGTAGAATTGATGTTTTCAAGTATTTTTATTTCCCCAAAACAATCCGAGAACGGAATACACTTTCAGAGGAAATTATTTTATCTAGCAGTTTAACAGACTTTGTTCATCGTTTAAGCAACCACCTGTATAATGGTTGATAACTTCATGCTTGGCACTCTGTAATTGTCATTTTATGCTTGGTGTGTGCAGTTGTAGTTTGCAGCTTGTCTTCTTAATATGGATAGATGGGCTTTCTTGCTATATGTATTTCCATATCTTTTTTCTAGGCACTGTCGACTGATGGACAACTGCGTTTCCCTCCACTTCTACCACGTCTCCTTATTGGAGAACGTAGTATGTATAAATAAATAAAATAAATAAAGATTAAATTTTTCACTGTCGAAGAAAAATACCGTAACTAAAGCAATTACACTTTTATAGTGATAATAAAGGTATATACCATTCGATACGACCGAAATAACAAAAATGATCCATGTTATTTTTTGGCGAGATGCATCCATATTTTTCCACAGGAATGTACAGGGGCACCGCAAAAGTAGACTGGTTGCTGTCTGCTTCAACTCGCATCCTGGAAGTCGTGTGGGCATTAGTGCCAGCTAAACCTCTAGCGTATATTATAATAACCCTATGCTTTACTCTTAACCTGTCACTGACTACAGTGCACACTGCAGACGGGATGTTTGGGCGGTAGATCAAACAAGCACCTCGACTTTTATAATTGAGATTTTACGGGACACCGAGCGGCTGCACAAGTTTAGCTTGAGGTGTGCAATCTTGCAGAGACACACGCCGGAGCCCCGGCTGGGAGGGCAAGACGTTTCGGGTGGACCGTTCCCCCTCGGTGGCGTCTGCTGCCATCAGCTACACGTTCCTGGGCCGCCTCGTGGGCACGGACCCCAGGGCCGCCAGGCTCAGGGCCCTGCTGGTGGACAGGGCCGCCCCCTCGTTCCGCACCACCCTGCCACGGGAGGTCGCCACCCTCTGCCGGCCCGCCCTCAGGGGCCTCAACGACACGCAACGTCGGGTTGTGCTGCGCTTCCTCATGTGCGACGACTACCTGCTGCTCAGGGGCATGCCCGGCACTGGTGGGTGACCCTGGTCTGAAGCCTGGTTGGGATGTTAGCGTTTGACTGTGACCTACCTTAACATCCCGTAAGGGCACTCTCCCCCGAGAGATCGCCTATCCCATTTTTCTGGCTAAATATCCGTCACTTAAAAATTCCAAAACACCGCTCACCCCCGATTTCCGCTGGACATCGCGCGATGTCCAGCGGGAATCGCATCAACTGCGCGATCTGCAGTACCGGTACAGCAACAAGCGAGTTTGCGGCAGGTTCTTGCTTTTTTTGTCTGCTTTCTGCGCGTGATATCGCTTCCTGTGGCGCGCAAGTGTTTATCCGCAGTCTACGGTATCCTTTTGTGTGGCGCAGGAGTTCGTAGTGAATTCCCGTGTGTTTATCGTCCTGTGAAACGCGAATTTGCTATGTCCATGATCTGCGGTATCAGTTCATGTGTCACGTGGTTTGCAGCGGGTGCCCCTTTGTTTATTAATTTTTGATAAAGTTTTTCTCTCTCATCCCCAAAGGCAGCCCACCTCATGTTTTTCACCATTTATCTTTTTATGTTGGGTTTGCACCATTACGGGATTTTACGGTAGTGCATTGTTCGGTTCTTTGTGGGCGCTTGCGACCAGAGAACACGCCACACATCAGTAGTAGTAGTAAAATATGTTTATTAAGAAGAAAGAAAAACTAAGGTAGCTCGACAAGAGTCCCCTTATCTGGCAGGGATGGGAGATACAATCAAATGCCTTTATAACGAATGCCTCTACTATTAAAACACCCATTTATGGATAGACCCTCGTCTTGAACATTTCTGTCATTTCTGATCTAATTTATATTACATTTTCACCTAATACATTTTCACCTAAGCTTTTGTGCTAAGTGTAAGTGTAAGCTCGTTGTTTTCCTATCTATTATAGTTTTCAAGGAAAGCTCTACTTTATAAAAAATGTTTCTGCCAAACTTTATTGCGATACTTTGATCAAAACATATGGCACAAGGTATGTCGGCATGTTCTACGAACGGTAAAAAGTGCAACAAATCCATTTTTATAATGTTGGCATTATTGTAGAAAAAGTCATCACAAGTTGAAATGTTGTCACTGATAGCTACAGGATGTACACAAACACTTCGATCCCACTTTGAAAGGTCTGCAAAAATCTGTTTCTCGACGTATGGCGCTAAGACTTACTGCAGAGGTGCGGCTAGGTAGTGCACGCATGGAGGCAAAATATCAGTGGATGAGCTTACCTTGTTCAAAAAGTAAAAGATAAAAAGATTAGTAAATATCGGAATATTTTCTTCCAGCCACTCTTCGACTTTGTGCAGAGCGAACTGTGCGTGTGCTGTATTGTGCATAATGTTGTCGCTGACAATTCCTAAGCTGTAGATTTTGCACTTCGTTGTAGCAATGAAGGTGAAAATAGACACAATTTGGTTCATCCAATGAAAGCATTGTACCGCTTGCAGAAGAACGATGCTCCAGTTTTGCGCAAATTCAAACAGTAATATGATGGTACGAGTTTTGAGACGCGACTTTTCTGAGCTCATAGCAAGCCACAGAGTATATCAGATGAATTAATGGGGGAAGTACTTTGTTACGCACTTCCTGAGCTTATTGCAAGATGTGTTACTTCCCATTTCTTTCTTCAGCAGTTTGCTAGATTCCCACAAATGTACTTCGATTTATTTGTCTTCCTTCATTGGCAACGATTCAAAAGTTAAACTACATCTTTTTGGACACACCTTACAGGTCAGCAAAACGCACTCTTTCGTTGGGTTAGCGCACAGTCAAAGTCTCTTAATGTTTTCGAGACTGAATTCTTTGTCACCCACATTTAATACTGCTGCCAGGCAAAGAGTAGTTGCTCCCTCTTTCGGTTTTGGTTAAGTGTATCTAACAAACTGAGATGAGATACCAGATGTGTGGACAGCATAGAACCTGCCAGCGAAGCAAAACGAAAGGGAATGGTTGCCTCTTGAAGGCGGCGGCACATGAGCTTTAGCTTTGGTAGTCCCTCCTGGCAATCACAGGTTGTCTATAGCTTCTTCCTTTCTATCACGTGTATGGGTCGTCATATTGTAGTCGTTTTTAATGTTTATAGTGACCCCGTCTGTACTAAACAAATAATCACGACAGCTATCTAAAAAGGGGATGCGACACTGTCAGAGTTAAAAAGGGTGGCAACATGTCTATGTCCCGCTCGGCCCGTGGATTGCCCTTTCGTTCCCACTTTCCGTCAAAGAAAAATAGCCGATGCAGCTTACGAGAACCTTGAAGGTACTTATATCTCAACAACAAAAAAATGAAAAATTCCGAGGACACCTAAACACTTCCTATGAGTTGTGAATGCAAAAGCACGAATGTCATTCTTCCGCTCCCTTAGTTCGTCTTCGGTGTACACTCAAGCCCGCATATATCGAACTCGCAAAAAAATGGGAATTAGTTTGATATATTGTGTAATTCAATATAACAGTTTTAATGAATTTGGCTCTCAAAAGTTCACTTTCTGCTGACATATTACACAATGAAATAGTCTTGCATCTCCTGCTGCTTTTCTAGGGGCAAAGCTCCTTAGGGTCTAGCCCTGTCCATCCGTCCGGCGCCTGTGCTCACATTGATCGCTCTGCCTCCAAGATCGGCCCACTTTAAAAAAAAAAACGTACGCTTGCACGGGGGTTTGAACTCAGGACTGCTTGCTTACAAGGCAGACGTCTTAACCACTACGCTTCACTCCGACGTTGCGTGTAGCCGCTCAACGTCTATACAGGAGAGGGTGCTGTGGTCAAATGCGTATATAATCGCGTTAAACTTTGCATGCATTGGCTCAACGTTTATAGACGAGAGGGCGCTGCGGTCAAATGCTCAACTGCATATATAACCACGATCCATACCACAGATTCTCTTTCTGACATGGACCGTTGACTTAAGCTGTGGAGATGCGTTCCCACGGCTTCTAGCGTATCCAAGCTGATCCGCTAGAAGAACCACTGGCTCTGCATTTCACCGACCATAAAGCAGTAATAATGAAGTCGAAACGCAACCCGGAACTCAGCAGTATCTATGAGCAATAAAAAAAATTAGCATCATCAGCACTACCTATGAACAATAAAATCAATATCGTCAGCACCAACAGAGCTTCGCCCCAATCAACATCATTCACCACGTGGAGATGCGGCCTCTTTTTTCATTGCATTCGCGATAACAATATTTTTCTACATTGTTGACGGACTCCAAAATGCTGAGGCCGCTGCCTTCTATATTTGCTCATTAGTGCCGAACTATGCCGAGAGCACAGAGCACGTCCGAGCAGCAGCACCTTCTCCTGCAGAGCGCCGTTTTGCTCTGCAAGTTGGCTTTCCCCTAAGACAGGCAGGGCGGCTGCGTTGGGGGAAACCAGCTAGCAAAGCAAGCTGGCTTTTTTTTCTTCCAGGCGGCTGTGTCAACCGCCCGGAAGAAAAAAGAATATTCTCTAATGCAGACGGAGCGGGAAGAGGGAGCACGTAGCACCCTCTTCCCGCTCTCTCTGCCAAAGTGATTTATGGTTAGGGTGACCACCTTCCTGTTAGCGAAATGCGGGACACCGGGGGGGAGGGGGAGGGGGGCTAGAGGAAATTTATTAACACACAGACCACAAACCGAGGCATTGTTAATACATTTAGCATCATGTGCTGTTTATAACCTGCTAATCGTATTGCAGCAATTAAGCTCAATTAATTTTTACTAAAAGTAATATATATATCTTATGGCAAATGTGTTATTAAATGTGTCGAAGTTGAAAACATAAAAATTGACTGTAGCAGAACTCAGTGCATCAGATAAAAATAAGAAACATTAAATCTCTTTCGGGCTATTGTTTCCTGTCAACGCTTACTTTTATCAACATAGTCATACACAAGGTTTTAACATTGTGTTCTTTTTCGACCGTTGCGAGTTGCAGGCTTTTTGCCTTGTGTGTTCCCAAAAACAAAGATCCACAGCAACCCTTTCGCATTGACAGAGCGATTTGAAAATAATTACAATATTTTATATTGAAACTTTTGGCAAGCAATCTTTCTTAGAATATTTTGCCACCAAGGGGAGTGGCACAACGGAGCATGCGCGTCGGTTCTTCTTCAAGAACGACGGTCACTTCCTGCAATGCTTGGATAGAAAATGGTGTACCATTGTGATTCACACGATTACCAGCGACCTCTGGGCTTCCCCGTGCCGCATTGTTCAGCAGCGCCATAAGTTGCAGAGTGAATTTTACTACAGTATGAAATGCGGGACATTTTGTACATTTTTGGATTATCTTGCGGGACGCGGGACACAAGCCCTCAATGCGGGACAGTCCCGCGAGTCGCGGGACGGGTGGTCACCCTATTTATGGTCGACGTGGTTGTTCGGGAAAAAAAAAAGAAAAGAAAAGCCAGCGTGCTTTGCAAGCCAGTTTTAACCCAATGTGGCCGCTGGCGTTGGGGGAAAGGAAAGCCAGCTTGCAGAGCAAGACAGCGGTCTTGGCAGTTCGATAGATCGGTAGCGGCTGCTATTTTTGTTCGATGTAACCATAGTTTTTGCTATACACTATCACTGTAACATTACTGTGCACAAAAATTGTTTGATAGAAGGGATAATTCGATGTAAATGGGTTCAATGTAGTCGGGTTTGACTGTACTGGCGTGGATGGCCACGTTTCGCTACTGCCGAAATTGTAGCCGACAACGATATAGATGCCTCAAGCACTGCCATGTTCCTCGGCGCCGAGAAAAGCAGACGTGGCTGCAGCCCCGCACCCCCCTCCAGCAACGCCTGACATGAGAACGGTGGCCGAGTGCGCGCTCTCGTAAGGCGGCCACCAATGGCTATCTAGGAGCCGTTTTGCTCAGCCAATGGGAGAATGGGCATTTCTTTCACGTTTTTTCGCGGTTATAGACTCCGCCGGCTCCGTTCCATGGGATAGTCGATGCTTTCGCATTAAAAGGCGAAATTAGGAAAGACTCACGCATTGCAGAAGAACGAAAGCAAGCGCCGAAAGCAAGCGCCCATATCATTCTACGAGGTTTGGAACATATATTTGGTTTCACAAACATAGAAGTGCCAATACTAAAGAGGGAGATTGGGAGGTTTCAACAAGCCTATCTTAGGTATTGTGTAAAGGAGTTGTAAGAAAGAAAAAGTTTATGCACTCTTATTGACGAGCTTGGCAGGCTGTCCCTTTCAAATGCTTTTCCCCACAAGTGCTGTATGAACTCGGGGAAAACAATGCTTAAACATTATTTAAGGCAGTTTTGATTTCTGTAGTTTACTAAGTAAGCAAACTGTTCATGCGGAAGAACTCCTTACCATATTATACTATAAATAGTGTCGATGTATAAGTTTTGCCAAACTGTGTCTGGACTCGAGATCCAATAAAAACTGTGATCATGTTACAAACATAAATAATATTTAAGTGAAAAATGAAATGGCACAAATATCCATCACAGAATGCAGGTATAATTATGTCTTCTTTTCAAATGCACTGCTTTATATGACGAAACCTTATATGTCAAAGAAATTTTATTGCATTTATAAGAGCACATAAAAAGCTTTTTATATAAAAAAAAATTAAAAATATGGAAAAAAAATATGTACTTTTTAATGACGTCAAATTTTGTACTTTTAGCTTTTCTTCTTGTTTTTACAGTGCTGTTTTTGCTATATAAACTATACCTAAATTAACAATGTTCTGATGATTATATAGGCTTAGATACAAGCTTTGATTTGATATGTTTCTTATGCCTTAAATAATTGTACATTTGAAGCTAGCTTGATTCAAACTTGGCCTATTTTTGTCAAAAATAAGAAATTTAAGAATTTTTTTTTTTTTTTATGAGAAGAAAAAATACTTTTAGGGATCTCTAATTCTTCTGTACAAAGTATGGAAGTAGTAAAAAAGTTATAATTGTCTTGAAAAAGATAATCTAAACATTGCGAGACTCCAAAATCTGTCACTCGTGAAAACTGCACAAATCGCAAGACCTACCTTCTGCCCTTCCGAAGCCCAAAACTCAAGAACAAAAACATTCCCGTAATTATAATTTGCAGTTTTGTTCTGAACATATATTTTTTTAAAGAATTTTTTGAGGACTCTTTATTTATTTTTTTTTTGCACAATTTGAGATTAAATTTTCTATATATAGATTGGATGAAAAGAAATGCTTGGAAACCCTTGACTAAGGTAGTCGTTTGTGCAACTAATACCCTATTTATTAATATGGAAATTATTGTCATAAAATAGCCATTGGCTTCACATTTAATTCAAATGTAAAGTTCCCCATTTTCCCATGCCTCGCAAATTAGTGTTTTGCCTCTCTCCTCATGCCTCTTTTATTCCTCCAGCAACCAAGCAAGGTTATTTCCTGCATTGTATAAACACGTGGTAGTTGATCAACATTTTAATTGTTTTACTATATCGTTACTGCACTCTAATACCTCTGCTGCTTCATCTATTTCTTTCCTCCAATAACTAATATTTGTGGCACACAAAACTGACCTGTAGAAACTCACCTAGTGTTATATTTGTGAATAATTTATGCCTTCATAAAAGTGCTATGTTTCTACTTTGATGACCTTGGGCATTTCGTATGAAATACTTTGTTAGTGATTTGCTTGAACTTAGTGCTTCATCAGCATAGGGTCAGCGTTATTTCCAGCGCTGACTAGCACTGATGTGGTGCTGCGCTGTGTAGTATGCGAACTGGCCTTACGTGCCACAAATCACCGCATTGCCATGTCGCTCCCGTGGCAGGCAAGACGACGACCCTGGCTGCGTTGGTGCACGCGCTGGTGCTGCTGAAGAAGCGTGTCCTCGTGACGAGCTACACGCACAGCGGCGTCGACAGCATCCTGCTGAAGTTGCGCTCGCGTGGGGTTCCCTTCCTCCGGCTGGGGCCCACAAACAGGATGCACCCGCTGGTGAGGGACCAGAGCGCCGAGACGCTCACCGCCGCCCTGAGGACGACGCGGGAGCTGGAGGAGTTCTACGGCGCTCAGGTGGGGGCCCGGTGTTGCTGACAGCATCCCACTCCGAGTTTAGAATCAATCGATCAATCAGTTTGCCATAAGTAGTATATTTGCGAAGAGGGGAAAGGGGAAAAGCTGCATGCTTGTGCCTAGACGAATTCTGACTCTCCTGAAACCTGGTCGTAGTAACGAGGAACGACAATGTATAAACATGTTAGTCAAAGGATACTACTGCCCGTAGCTGTCGAGGACACGGAGACAGCGGGGAAGATAGCTTAGAAAAAAAATGAAAAAAGCAAAAGCTTGTGTTTTCAGTCCAAATAGGTCCTAAGCATATTATACAGTATCTACAGTGATGTGATTGCTGCGCCAATTTCGCCAAACTGCGCCAATGGGTAACTCTGCTACATCCTGCTACGTTTTGACAAAATATGGGTAATCTGTGCCAAGCCTGCGCCAAAGGACCAATGTCGGTCGCCTTTCAAAACCGAAACTAAACTGAGTACCGTAATTGAGCATGCGTGAGCTACGTAGCGGCGCAAGCGGCCGCCCGACACTATAGGTGCCTCGATGTGCGTCTGGTATAGGGTGAAGACACCCATTGTTGTATTGAAAACTGCCTGCACGTGCCAAATGGGCCTTAAAATGGCATCAAAGCACCAGGTAGAGCCAAGCACTCGCTCCGAACGAGATCGAAGCGCGTGCATTCTGGGGACAGAAATGGCCGTGATGCCACCCTAAGACAGACGTGGCGAAAGTGTATGAAGGCTCCCTGCCCGACACAAAGTATCCTGGATCAATCGTCCATCCGGTCTTGCATGGTTTTTCCCGCCGTCTCTCGTTTCTTGCTCTCGTTGTCTCAAAAATCTTGTCTCGCGTCTTTAAAAAAAATTCAACGATAGACGTGGGCGTTGGTGGACGCTCCGACGCTAGCGTGCCGGGTACCAGCATGCCGTCTTGTGAAACGAAACCACGTTTTTGCGCGGTGGGAGTTACTTTGTGAGCTGAAGCACTCACTCCTGAAAGCAACGGCCGTGGGAAGACTAGGTATATTTGGTCCCTGCCTGCCAGTCATCGTGGTCGCACGACGTCGGGTGTTGCCGTCCCCACGTCGCTGCGGATCTGGCGCTTTCTAAACTGAAACGTAAGAGCCGCGTGTTTATCAACATTATCATACGCTACTACAAAATTCCCTTTAAACCGCTGTGTCAAAGTATTGATTACCACGTTTCTCTTGGCCTTTCTTTTGAGAGGGACCCCGGTACATGAACAATCTGCCGCGAAAGAAAGTTGAAGAAATGTGAGCTAAAGCAAAGAAGGCAATGTCTGCACGCTGAACCCCCACAGCGCGCTTGTTTGTCTCGAGTTAAGTCGTTGCACAAAGCGCTCCAAGAACTTTTTGACCCTGGCGCGTGATTTCTAGCATCGATGCGCTCGGGTTCCTTTTTTCTGTGTGTTTAACTTGTACCTCGCCTGCCGGCTTGGCAAGCACGCGCCGCTGGATTGTTTTTTTGTCGTATGCTGGACATTTCGCATACAGTTTTGGGAACCAGTTGGCGACGGAGTGGAGTATAGCATGGTTTCGGTTTCAATCAAACAGTTGTCTCCGCTTGCGCGACGTAGCACGTGCAGCTGCAAGCATGCCGAAGTTGCCCTCAGATGAATGCGAACATGATTGCACGACAGAGGCACCAGCTGGGAAACTTGCAATCCATTGTTTTACGTTTGCTTTCTTTTGACGAAAATCTCGCACGTTTGAAAAAAAAAAGCTGGCAGGGGGTTTTTCGGAATTGCTCGGCAACGCCTACAGCACTGTATACCTGTGGGATGTCTCAATGTCTCTTCGGAGACATTGAAAGTGGACATTCATTACTAGCCGAAGCGAGGCTTGCAGCAGCCTTGCAGAAAGTTTCGACAAGCAAAAAGGAAGGCACCCGCTAGTCGTAATGCACCTTTGTCTTGTGTACAATTTCGCATTGCACTGCAGCAGTTGCGTGTTTCGTCAATCAGAGACTGCTTCCGTTTATTTTATTATATAACTAGTCAACCTAATGCTGTGATATTTACTACTAAGCTGGTCATTTTCAAATAGACTTTAATATGTGTACCTTGGTTCTTATTTATCCGTAGCGGGTACATATACTTTATATGTATAATTTAACTGAAGCATTGCAAGCTATGTCATGTCATTGGCTTTTCAGTTACGTGTTTAAGGACTCCCAGGTGGTCTGATTTGACCATAGTTTGTTTGATGCGGCGAGCAAAGTGTGATTTGCTTGTGCAGCACTTTATTGAAAATTTTTATTGTTCCAAAAATATCTGCTCGCAAAGCCACTTTTTTTTTTTCTTTTGCTCCAAAACATTGTTTTGGCTGCTCCAAATGCCACTTTTGCTGCTCCAAAACGGCTTAGGCCAATCACATCACTGTATCCATTAAAATCCCAGAAAATACCATTTCCGGCACCGAGGGATTTATATTTATGCTGCTTCCTAATGAAAATTGTTACGAGAGTTTATTTACCGTAATGTCCCGAGAGGTAGCCCACCTTAATTCAGAGAAAATCAAGTGAAAATAAGAAGTGGGGTAACTTCCAATCTCCAATAAAAAAAAAAAAGTAAAAACAAAAATTCCATTTTTAGGCTATGTGATTTGCCAAGCTTGTCATCTCGGCAAGGGGCAATGAAGCAAACATGACTGTCCTTCTCAGTCAGCAATGTTTGCTTAGCTAAATAGCTAGCTAACCCCATTTTTGCCAATGTCACCATTGGCCAGGGAGCTGTACTTACTAGAAATAAGCTATCTTTCGGTGTTTCTGAAAAAATATCAAATCATGCCAGAAATGGAGGCGGGTTATTCTTCGGGGGTGGGGCATCTCTGAGGATAATACTGTAGTTTCTTGATGCTGCATGCAGTCATGTGATTGCTGCGCCAATTGCGCCAAATTGCGCCAAGGGGCTAACCCTGCTACATCCTGCTACATTTTGCCAAAATATGGGTAATCTGCGCCAAGCCTGCGCCAAAAGACCAATTTTGGTCGTCTTTCAAAACCGAAACTAAACTGAGTACCGTAACTGCACGACAGAGGCTGCACGACAGAGGCACAAGCCAGGACGCTTGTAACCCATTTTTTTTTTTTACGTTTGCTTTTTTTTGACGAAAATTTGGTACGTCGGGAACCAGTAAAACGGTGGCAAGCGGTTTTTCGGAATTGCTCGGCAACGCCCACAGCACTGTTCACTTGTGGGGCGTCTCAATGTCTCTTTGGTGACATTGAAAGTGGGAATTCAGTACTAGCCAAAGGCAAAGCGAGGCTTGCAGCAGCCTTGTAGAAAGTTTCGAAAAGCCAAAAGAAAAGCACCCGCTAGTCTTAATGCAACTTTGTCTTGTGTACAATTTCGCATTGCACTGCAGTAGTTACGTGTTTCCTCAGTCGGAGACAGCTTCCATTTACTATATTATATAACTGCGGTAGTCAACCTAATGCTGTGATATTTACTAATAAGCTGGTCATTTTCAAATAAATTTTAATATGTGCAGTTTGGTTCTTATTTATTTATAATGGGACATATATATATATATATATATATATATATATATATATATATATATATATGTATAATTTAACTGAAACATTGCAAAATGTGTCATGTCATTGGCATTTCAGTTAGATGTTGAAAGACTCCCAGCGCTTAAAGCGAATATGTTTATTTTTCTAAGAATATCTGCTCCAAAAGCCACTTTTGCTGCTCCGACACACTGTTTTGGCTGCTCCAAAAGCAACTTTTGCTGCTCCAAAACACTGTTTTGCCTGCTCCAAAGGCCACTTTTGCTGCTCCAAAACACCGTTTCGGCTGATCCAAAAGGTGCTCCAAATTGACTTGGACAAATCACATCACTGTGCATGTTATAATTGTTAACTGGGTAATTATTTTTTATTTATATTAAATACAGTCTAAGCTCGTAACAGACCTTGATTTTTACCGACATTTCGGTCTGTTGTAAAAGGAGTATGTTGTAGGCAGATATGAAGTTGAGTCAATGGTACATAGAGGAAAACCAACCGAACTTCACAGATTGGTATGTTATATCCAAATGTGTGTTGTAACCAGGTCTGTTATAATGAGCTTAGACTGTATAGAGCACACTACAGGCTTTTTTAACAGGTCCCTGCATGTGTAGTGTTACAAAAAAAAAAAAAGAAGACAAAACTAGCCAACAGAAAAACATAAAACAAGGAATGCGTTTTAGCCACCATTCTTGTTCAGATAAACAGGTGCATTAAAATAAATACCAGTATTGTCTGCAGCCAAAATGGCACCAGTAGATGCCGCTTGAGTAGTTCCCAAGATGGAAAAAAATGCTAGAGTTGAAACCGTCGGATTGTGTTCCCAATCATATTTCTTGATCTCTGTCATCACGACGGAGCCATCTTCTTGCTTATGCACATTATTAACACCAAAGACCACACTAATGAAGAATCGCTTATGTGCAAATGAATAGGAAAAATGGCTGAAAACATTCTGAACATGGCTGCACACGGCTTACTAGAAGTGAAAAATTGTTTCGTGAAACTGCCTTATCAGAGGTTCTGGGGTTGTTCACTGCCGGCTTGTCGTTGCAAAAGGATGAGTGTGACGTAGAGCTTGCACATCGTCCGTTCTCGTGCTGCGCCACTTTCGTGGTTCTCTGCAGTCCGAGCTCTCGCCGTCTGATTGCACCGCCTCTCCCGGGTCGTGCTGCTGTCGACAACCAGCAGCAGCGAGCTGACAGGAGCGCAGAAGCAGACGGCTTCTGCATCCATGTCTACTTGCCGTTGACGTTCGAGAGATGTACCGGGAAAACTAACGCGTTTCGTCCGCCTCTGCTGATGTGTGTGGATGTGATGTAATGTGTGCGACGGGGCGTGATTTGTGTGGATGTACTAGTGTACACATGCATCATGTGATGTGATGTGCACATGATAGGCGGGATATGACGTGTGGATGAGATGTTTATGTGACGTGGCATGCATGATTTGCATGTCATGCATGCAATGTGATCTGTGGAAATGTGACGTGCGTGCAATTTGTAGGGATGTGATCTGCAATAGATGTGTTTTGATGCGATGTACATGTGATGGGTTTGATGTGATGTGCACGCGACGTGACGGGCCTGTGACGTGTATAGATGTGCGGGGAGAGCTCGGACGAGCCCGCACGACGGGTGGCCGACTGGGGTCCGACGCCTTCCCCGTCCCCTCCCAGGCAGTGGTGGCCTGCACCTGCCTGGGCTCCTCGTCCCTGCGGCGCCAGCAGTTCGACGCGTGCGTGGTAGACGAGGCGTCCCAGGCTCCACAGCCGTCCTGCCTGGGACCGCTGTTCCTGGCGGAGCGCTTCCTGCTGGCGGGAGACCCCAAGCAGCTGCCTCCCGTGGTGCAGAGCCCCAAAGCCAGGTGCGCCCCTCGCTTCGGACAGGCTTTTGTGCACTCACCCGTGCGGCAATGCTTCCGGCGGGCAGTGAGGGGCTGGGTCAAGCGGATGCAGCTAAGACTTGGATTCTCTAACTGGGCTCCTTGGAACCCGGGGGATTCCTAGAGAGCCCTCACGGGTTACCCCAAGCTCCCAAATTGATTCCACATACTCTGCCCCCAAGTGGAGCGTTTTTTTGGACCATTCTTTATTTTAGTGAGTCTGCTTTAAAAGTTTGATGGAGCGCAATAGTTTTAGTTCAAGATGGTACTGCGAGGTTCTTCGGCCGTAGCCAGTTTGTCTACGGGACAAAAAGAAAAGAAAGGAGCCTCCAACTCCAAGATTCTGGAACTGTGCAAGGTGAATGCCTCTTTGTGCATCATACATTTATGGTTATCAAATAAAGCTCCACTACCAAGTGGGGAAAACCCTGAACAAGCTAGAGAAAGTGCCCTAAAGGGAAGATGGGGCACTTCTAGATTTGAGAAAAAACGCTTGAATTGCATTCATTTGGCCTTTAGAATAACATATATCAAAATTATATTTCAATGCGACGCGCCGGAGAGCCATAAGAGCAATTTGAAAATAGGGCTGAAGCCCCGCCTTCCTAGCCTTGGCAGGCCAAAAGATCCGTCGACGACGTCACGGACAGCGTCTCTCTTTCGCGTTTTTCTCCCGTTTAACAATACTTACACGGCAAATGGTTTTGGTATTTGGGTTCATGAGGTAAAAATACACTTGAATTCACTTCTAACTCATTTTTTTCAAGAAGCTCCGTAGCTTCCCTTTAACGTCCGTAACAAGTCTGCAAAGGCAATAATAAAAGCGGAGGAGATGGGTGAACAAGGTTGCATTAACATGCTTGTGTTTTCTGGTCTTCGGTACTAACGGGGACGGTGCCCATACACAACCACTGAAAAGAAAGAAAAAAAAAGTTTTTAAGCAGTTTGATTGGGACTTGTAAGTAAAAAAAAAAAAAGAAATATTTCTGCAAAAAAAAAAAAAAAGACGTTTTTTTAGAGCAATATTGACAGCACGAAATGCAGTTTAGTCAACAGTCACCTCCTTTCCACTTGTTTTATCTTTCGGAATTTCGGGCGCTTGGAGGAGAGGGGGATTGGCTTGGCCATCACGTTGAGGTGGAAATAGTGTATGTGTATGGCCATTCCGTGGCGTCATGGACTTTACACGCAGAATTTAAAATAAATCTCGCGCCGTCAGTATTGCTCAAAAACAAATTTTTTTTTTCTCGCATAAAATTAATTTTTTAACACGCCAAACTGTTAAAAAAAAACATTTTTTTTCCAGTGGTTTTTTAAAGTGCGAGACACGTGCGCATCATGACTGTCCGACCCGACGTATGGACTGCCGGAACAATGGTCGGATGCGACAAGTTCGGGCCTGCCGAAACGTCAAATCCGGGCACTGTCCGGCTTCGGCGTGTGACCAACTTGCCAGATATTCACCGCACGGCTGTTCAACTGTCGGACGGTCGCAGCCAACGGCGGCACGGATGGCACAAATGTTGCGTTGTCACGTGACGATCGGCCCGATTGGGAAAAGACATGCTGGCCCAGGGAAGCGGATGTGAGCGGTGAATCACACGAGTTGACATTATCGTCGTGAACCCAATGGCTACCATAGAGTTTTTTTGAGCACACAAAATGAGCAGTTGATTTTGTGCATCCGTAGCGAGCCAGCCCTTTGGGACTAATCGAGACCGTCAAGACCCAAATGTTTCTCGTTTCACCTTACGATAGACGGCCGTGGACACTACGAGCCATCTCAGTGTCGCGCGGGTGTCGCGTGACCTTCGGGAGAGGCACAGCAGTGCGTGGGGTGCATAGTCACGTGACATGTCTGCGACACTCTTTTTGCCGGGACGGCTCCTAAGGTCCGCCACGGTCCATCGTAATTAGGGGATGTTGAGACTGCTTACGACCGTGTGCCTTAAAACCTCTTAATGTCTCTTACGACAACGGAAGACACTTGCGCCATCTGTCGGGTAAGCGTGGAACACTCGTAGTTATCCTACATTTCCTTTTCTTCCTTTTTTTGTCTTCAGAAGCTTTTGACACTGTTATAAATGACCACATCTTATAAATAGTATGTACGCCTGATCTCTCAACTATTGCGAAACCTTTGCTCCAGTGAAGTGCAGCTTCAGGGTCACCTCATAAATGGCACCGGCATACCCCTGTGTTCTCCCGTCTTAAGAAATTGTGAAAACTCGGTCCCATAAGCAAACGCAAGTTTGTGAAAGGGCTTTTATGCTCGGCTTTAGTAATGTTCAAAGAGTCTCGGGTCAAACTTCCCACGCGTGTGGCCCTCTCAATTATCATCGAGGAGACACGCTGCAACAGGATAGAGGTGCTGCAAAAGGCCACTGGCGGCTCGTGAGGTCGAGTGTAGGAGGGGGGCTCGGTGTCTTGAGAGTTTGCCATTCGAGTTGGTCCAATAATCTCGTAACGCCCGGAATCCATCTATGACCAGTATGAATTATTATCCTCACAGTCCGTGCTCTGAAAGCGGTCTCGAAGTGACAGCAGCAGGTTACGTCTCATGGGCCGGCATGTCACGCTGCTGTATGTTGTGACCCTGGCAATGGGCGGTACAAGTTAGGACAAAAAAGACGAGCAAGCACAAGTGTCGCTCTCGTCGCGACATCCCAACTCCTGGCTGCTAAAGCTTGCGCATATTATTCTCAAGCCAGAGAGCAACCAGAGTGGAACAGACTCTTATATCATCCACCTCAACTGCCGTGCCCCCGCCAAGATCGCGGTAGGCGGAAGTGTGTTAATCGTATGACGTTGTCGGACGGAAAGCGAGGGACCAGGGACCGCATTTGAGGACGCGGTAAGCACGCCGGTCGGACTGACCCCTGATCGATGCCTCGGCGAACTTGCTTGCCCAACAGGGACATGGGCATGGACATCAGCCTGTTTGCCAGACTGGAGACTGAGGAGAACACCGCAGTCCTGCCGATCCAGTACCGGATGAACCAGTAAGTGGGACATGTTGTTGTTTTTGTGTTTTTTTTCGAGTTAAGGGGAGGTGAGCACTATGAGGTCTCCCCCCGCCCAAAAGCACTTTACGGATTTGTTTTTATTGCAAACATAAACTATGCATCTCCCAACGCTCATTCTTCGCCCGAATGTGTCGCTAGAGTCCGAACCAGATGCCAAAGTTTCAGAACTGATTGTTGTCTCATTCAAAAGTTATAAGTGATTTTCTGAAATTTTTTATGGTAAAATGGTGGCCGACGGATCTCTCGATTACATGGAGCTGAATGGCGCCAGTTACCGAAGACGGGCAGAAGCGGGTTCCATTTTCCCATTGAAGTTTTCAGAAAATCACTTATAACTTTTGACTGAGATAACGGTTATTTCTGAAACTTTAGCATCTAGTTCAGACTGCCAACATTACTTTTGTTATAAGGCGCCACCGTCTTGTCGCACGCTTCCAACGGTACTTGCATAAATTTTCTCAGGCATCCAAATTCTCTTCATGGTTCTTATTCTTAGGTGAAGTTGTTTTTTACTGCAAACTCAATTCAAGCATAGCTAAGCCCTGCATTTGAGTCTCACTATTTGCCAAATGCTTTCACCTTTTTCCCTAGTGTTTGTATTATTGTTAACCATGCCACCCAGTTTCTGACATGCTTCATTGCAAGAATGCAAAGAGGATTTTTTGGCAGCTGCTCGGAAGGTTTTAGAATGCCAGGGTCAAAATAGAGATAGCTCGAACGAGCGATTGGCGGTTTTTCTTATTTGTCTCTTCAAACCGAAGGCCAGCATCAGCTCCTGTAGTATAACTTGTACATCACCACCACTCTATTAATGTAACATGCTATCCATCAGCGGTTACTCCGTGATCATCCGTGCATGGAAAAGGGGAGGGCAACGTCAGATCCCAATACATTGATTATGCAAGCAAATGTTGATAAAAAGAAAAACTGAAAATGGTCTTTTAATGAGTTTCCTGGTTTTTTCCTTATATTTCTTTATATTGCACAAAAGTGTTGGTTCAGAAGTGCTTCCACTCTTCTTTTTATTATTTCACATTGAAGATATTATTACCTCAACTTAATGTGGACAAAACAAAATACATTAAATTTTGACCCATCAACAACAAGATAATATGCCAATACAAATTCTTGCGAAAGGCCCAAGGAGCCGACCTTCCCTAACTAATCCGATCGGCACCGCTAAACGTCTCGAGTATCGTCGCCACGTGGCTCCGGTCAGCTGTGCCCGGAAACGAAGCGAGACGCGGCTTGGGAGCGCCAACGCACCTTGGTGAAAGGGGATCATTGAGTCGGGCGACGCGTCCTTACTTCTGGCCCCTCCCCTTGCTGCTTCTGTCTCGTCTCGGGGCACAACGCCATCGACAGCATTGGGACGCCCTGGACAAAAGAGGGTACTTGGCGCCCTTTTCCTAGATCCCATCGCTAATGGGATTATCTCCTTAGCGCGCGGAAACCGAGAATCTGCACCTGGGGGTAATTATATGTTTGCCCCATCCGGACTTCGACGGCGCCGGTGGCCGACCAAGGATGTCTGGCCTTTGGTTTGCGTGATGCGTGTGGCAGTATGTGAGGGAGAGGGAAGGGGCGTGCCTGAACGTGACGAAGACTGACCACGCCGTTTCGGTCAAAGCAGGGACGATAGGGATTCCCTACTAGGGATGTGGGGAAAAGTGACGTTACAAAAGCAGCAGCAGGCGACTGCTGCTTTGTGTTCTCGACAGTGTTTTTAAGTGTTCTCGAATGTGTTCCTGAGTTTATGTAACCTGTCCATATGTATATGTAAAGAGTTATATGAGAGACACCCCTCCTGCTCCCTGGTCCTTCCCGAGTCCGGCTACCACATGAGTTCCTGCCCTGGCTCGACTCCCTGCCGTACCCAAAGTTCCCGGACAACCGCTCGGTCCCAACAAATTGCGATTTAATAATGTCCCCATATCTTAGGTACAAAGCAAAAGTTCCTTGGTGTTTGGATCAGTGAGTAGTTCACCTGTCAACTCAGGGGACTGAACTAAGAAGCGATTTATTGAAATCAGTCAATCGTACATTCAGAATGCATTTAATACCCAACTGGCTTTAGAAAAATTCATATTATTTACAGTTTTTTGCTCTAAACTTTGTGATGGAATTCTTGTCTGGGGAACAACAACAATGACAACTACACAGTGAGTAAGGGATCGACGGCTGCTTGAAGGAACCACATAAATCAGTTTGTGAACATATTGAGCTACAATTTTTTTTAGAGAGGCGGTCAAAGAATGTGCATTAAGGGCATAAAAGTTTCTCTGGACAAACTTACCCGAGTAAAAAGTCAGAAATGAAAAACATGAAATCCCTACCTACGGCGGCCATCTGCCAAAGAAAGGCGTCTGATTGGCTCAACAGCCGACGGATGGCGGCATGCAAGATTGCAGGCAGCATGCTTGAGCCATGCCGTGGTTGCAGACAATAACACGGCACATGGGCATTTGGAGTAGGTTGTAAAAGGGGGGGAGGGGAGGGGAGGGGAGGGGAGGGAGACCAACAGGTGGGCGGGCGCCTTTCGGAAAAAAAAAAGTGTGGCTGTGAAAAGCCATAACTTTTTGCGTGATTTTACATAAATCACAGCTGAGGAAGTGTTTGCTTAAGAGTTTGTCACAATTTTCTCATCATTTTCGATGGGCATTTGTCAGGTGTTTCATAGGAGCGTGCGAATAGTGCTTCGAATCAGATATATAGTGCTGCATCATTCCTAGCTTCAACACTGTAAATGTATGTAATGAGTATGTTTTGGGTTTTCTTAGAACTGCAAGGGCTAAAAATGATACAATGCTATTAAGTTCAATTTATCATTTGCACAGGCCTAGTAGTGTTTATGAGAGCATGATTTAAGGGTGTCGATCATATATTTTGTCATGCATAATTCACTCGTGGTTGTTGTTGGGCATTTGTTAGGTGTTTTCTAGAAGTTTGCCGATGCTGCTCCTTATGGCTAGCTTATTGCTGCAAAGTCCTCCCTAGCTTCAACACCGCATAGAGAAGCGGTATGTCGCGGATTTTCCAAGCACTGCGAAAGCTAAGATTGATGCGGCACTATTCAAGTCGAACTGTTACTTGCACACCCTAGTAGCATATCATGACAGTATGATCCGAGGAAGTACCCACCCTAGATTTTGTCGCATTTCTCTCGTTATTTGTGGTGGACACTTGTCGGCCATTTTATAGGGGTATACGAATACCACTTCGAATCAAATAGTGCAGCGTTGTCCCTAGCTTCAACGCCACAAAGGGAACCTGTTTACCGCGGGTTTTCCGAGCACTGCGAAAGCTATGAATGATGCAGCACTATTCCACCGTTCGCACACCCCTGGTGTTTTCCCGATAGCAGAAGTGAGCCTGTATCCAGATTGCAAAAGAGCCGTCACGTTTGTCCCCATGCAGAGCGATCATGGACGTGTGCAACAGCCTGGCGTACGAGGGGCGTCTGGAGTGTGGCTCCGCCGAGGTGTCCCAGGCCACGCTGTCCCTGCCCAGGGCCGACCTGTTGGCCAGCCTGCTTCCCAGGGACTGCTGGCTGCTGGAGGCCCTGTCCCCCGCGCTGGGACGCTCCGTCGTGTTTGTGTGCACCGACGGGCTGGGCTGGGCGCCGGAGAAAACCCCCTCGTGCAACCGACGGGAGGCCGGCCTTTCGGCGCTTGTCCTGGCAGCGCTGCTCAAGGTCGGTACAGGACATGGCAGAAGTTTGAGGACTTTTATTTTTGCCCTGGTTATCACTATAGGCGCGGCACGGCTGGAGTTTTTCAAGATTTGTTTGTTTTATCGGAAGTTTGTTATAATTAAACTGGCATTTACATCGGAAATTAAAAACAGCGCGGAAAGACGAGGACCAGACAAAGAAGTGACACGGACGTAGCGCTGACTTACAACTGAGTTTATTGAATGCAAACTCGCATTATATATTTGCGGTGTCACGAACAAAAGAACAGAAAAAATTCAGCCCATGTGATGTATCACCAATAAAAATAAAAATAAAACAATGATAAAAAACATTGAAAAAAAATAATAATAAAATGCGCCTTGACACAGCCGTACAGAGTATGCGCTAAAAAACGAGCAAGTCACGGAACCAGAAAATTCATCTCTTTGCCTGATAGGGCCACAGAAGGACTGCTTACACATGCTGCACCCAACCTCGCTATCTCAACAGCCTCTAGAATTTCCCGAGTAAGCTGGTTGCCTTCCCGACTTCCAACGGTGTGAGGTTGTTAAGCGTCATAGGGACCAGCTTACTCGGGAAATTCTAGAGGCTGTTGAGATAGCGAGGTTGGGTGCAGCATGTGTAAGCAGTCCTTCTGTGGCCCTATCAGGCAAAGAGATGAATTTTCTGGTTCCGTGACTTGCTCGTTTTTTAGCGCATACTCTGTCATGGCGCATTTTATTATTATTTTTTTCCAAGCACTGCGAAAGCTAAGATTGATGCGGCACTATTCAAGTCGAACTGTTACTTGCACACCCTAGTAGCATATTACATTCAAAACGGGCATCTACCACAGCCAGCTCTGCTGGAGTGTTGCTGCCAGGATCGCTTTGGTCAATGGCATGATACTTTTACGACGCCACAAGGTGAAAATTGAAGAACCACAAATGAGGACGGGGTAAACGCACCGGTCGGAGATGCGTGCCAGTCACCGTGGCTTTGGGACCCTGTCATGCATTTCGACGAGACACGCAAAGGGCATTGAGATTGTCGGGGCGCTCCTCACAGGGAGGCCTTCCCGAGGGCGAGGTGGGGGTGGTGGCCCCGTTCCGGCGCCAGGTGGCAGTGCTGCGGGCGTTGTGTCCCCCGGCAGTGGAGGTGGGCACGGTGGACCAGTTCCAGGGCAAGGAGAGGGCGGCCATGCTGCTTTCCTGCACCGTGGCACGCGCCACCACCTCCGCACAGGTACCGGCCTGTTTGCCATCCCGTGGGGCTACCGTATGCTCCAGAGTCCGGAGGTCTGAATTTACCGACGCCCTTGCTTTCCAAGGCAGTTGACCTCTGCCACAACTATACAGCAGAACCGTTCGTTGGCGAGGAAACAGAATTACAGGGCTTGCTTTGTCCAGCTTGTTCTCCACAGAGCTCGGTGTTTGCCACCACAAGGCCTGTGGACTGGATCCTTTGCGCCATCCGCAGCAGTTGAGCGCCACAAACTGGGCACGGGTACTGCGACAGCATTCGGCTGGGATTCACGTTCAAGCTGGTGCTTTATCGATTAAATGCATGCCCCAGCCGAATGCCTACACAGCATTCAACCATGTCAGCCGAGCACTGCGTCAGAAACGCAAACGAATAATTCATATTGTCATTGTCCTTGTGGGTTTAGTTGTCGACTCAGTTGCTAAAGGCCTGACGGTTGCATCTATTTCTCGATAACGAAGTCGACGGGAATCGGAAATGTGTTTCGTTATATATCTCTATTTTTGTATGTCTAAACTGCACAAAAAAAAAAAAAAAAAATTTTGCATATGGCACGATGAGGTTGCGCAGCATGTAGCAGCATGTAGCATAGGCTCGTAGAATAGCTGCTGTCCTTCTAATTTTAGAAGGAAAAACTGAAAATATACACTTTGAAGAAGCTACTAGGTTGAGCAGGTTCTCTTTTGCAGTCACGTATGATTGGTGACCTTCCATGCTAGGTAGTTTCATTCGGATGTTGGTGACTAAAATACGAAACTGAAAGAGTAATGTAGATGGCAGTACAAATGACATGGGCTTTCAACTCTCGGCAAAGACTTTTACTGAAGTAAACTTGGTGCCCGTAGCCTTGTCGGGGGCTCAACGAGAAGGAAAATGGGGGACGAGCTGTGGAGGAGCGGGGGAATATTTATTTATTTATTTACAGGTACTACCACCTTCTAGTCATGTGCGAATAGTGGAATTTGAGTTCTAAGTGAATTTGAAGTGAGTACTGGTTTTGGCCGAATATTTTCTAATCGAACATTGAATAATTTCTCCGAGACTAATGTTGCAACATGCCTAAACGAAAAGCAAGCTAAACTTGTGAAGGTTCTTTCCAAGCTTCCACTCGTATATTTACGACCTAATTTTAATCTAACTATATTTACGGACTGTTACCTCAGAAAGTTCAATGACAAAAGATGGCAAGTAAGCGACGGAATCCACATAAAATGAAACCAATAGAGATGCTCAGCTTTACCTAATTAAGTGGATTTACGAACCTTGCTATATGCAAATTGTCCTCCTCCAATCTTAAATTAAAAAAAAAAAGAAAAAGAATCGCATGATGAACGCAGTTTGTGAGGACATTGTTGCCTCACATTAACTCTTGCATAACAGCCACAGTTTAATTGTGAAAATTTTGCTGCAATGTAGATACCAACATTCACGAAGTTTTCGTTTCTTTATAAATACACCAGGCACACACATGCACCATCCCGCTTTGAAAATGTGCTTTTCTCCCAGGCGCATAATTGCGATATTTATACCTTTTCAGGTGTTGATTGCGGCGGGTTACCCGTTGAGTGCGCTTCTTACCGAACACTGGTGCACTGCGGAGAAGCAACACTCACGGAGCTCGTTTGCCTGGGTGTTTTTATTGCGAAAGCATTAACTGTCCCATGGAGCGAGCCACCGTCATCAGTTTGAAACGCGAAAACGGCACCTAGTTTCCCTGATCCCAAGGGTCCCATTGGCTGGTGCGCGGCAACGAGGCTCCCATTGGCTGCTGCGCGCATCAGTTTCAACGACCGCCACCAGATGGCGCTGCGTGTCCATGCCGCCAGCACACCGATAAAACTAACCGCTGCAACCCCATGCCACTGCGGGCCCCGTGCCGGTTAAAACGGACACATTAGCGCATACTCGGAGGCTTCTGCTCGTCTCGCCGCCGACCAACATGCCGTTGCCTCCATCATCCACATCGTCAGCGGTGCTTCTGCTCGTCTCACCGCCGACGAAAATGGCGCCGCCTCTAGCGTCCAGATCGTTGCCGGTGCTTCTGCACAACTCGAAAACATTACACGCGCCACAACACTCCGCGGATCACTTTGCGGCGTTCCATTGGGCATTCATACTTTATCATTCACAACTGATAAAAAGTGCTTAGTGTCTTCAGACTTTTTTTCCGTAGTGCTTCTGTGCTCGGTAGAAGTGCACTCAGTGGGCCTAATCCACCGCAGTTATTTGAGGTGTATGAAAATAACAATGGGGACTTCTTACGAGCGAGTCATAAAGACACATTTTTGTGGGATTTAACAGCATTTGCCAGGTTTGGCACCAGGCACAAAATGTGGTCAGGACCGAGTCGAGGTCTGCTTGGTCTAAATCATTCTTTATTTGGGAAAATTTAACTAACGTAAAGCGGAAGCGCCGACTTCTTTCAAGCACCCACTGTTAACATTTCCAAAACTTGGGAATTTTGCAAATTATGCATTAAGTGCCTGATTTGACCGGACAAGCTGCCATGTCTAGATGAACCCAGTTTTCAGTAAAAATGGGGAGGGTGCTCCCCCGGTATTTTACGATAGGTCATCAGCAAAACGGCCGAACTAATGTTTTTGTTATGTTTTACTATGTCATTTAGTATGTCAGTCTTTGCCAAAAGTTTAGAGCCCACCGTGCACAAGGCCGGGCCGAGCCCGCGCTCCTGTGCAACTGCGCTGCTACCCTTGGCACTCGCTGCCTGCGAGGTTTTTGAGAGTGAGGGGAAACTTCACGCTTGCGTCGCTCTTGCCTTGATAAGACAGCGAACGCGACGCAAGAGTGAAGTTCCCCCTCACTCTCAAAAGCCTCTCAGCCAGCGAGTGCCAACGGTAGCAGCGCCGCTGCACTAGAGCAAGCTCGTTCCAACCGCATGCGTGGTGGACGCTAAACTTTTAAAACACGTGTACGTGGCGGGAGGTGGGTCTGCCGACTGTCAATCGACATGTCGCCGTTGAACAAAGTGCCGACGTTCGGCGGTGGCCATTCGGGAAGCTAGTTTGTCTTCATGTTCCTGCGCCAGCCTGTTTTGGCTGGCGTTTACTCGGGGCCCGGCTGTTGCATGACGCAGGACTCTGGCGGCAGCATCCTGGACGACGAGCGTCGCCTGAGCGTGGCCCTGAGCCGTGCCCGGCACAAGCTGGTGCTGGTGGGCAGCTCGGCGGCCGTCGCGGGACACCCGCCCTTCGCTCGGCTCCTGGCCCTGCTCGGGCCGAACCGTCTGATCCGCCTACGTTCGGGGGACGACATGGGCCTGGAGGGCCTCCTGTGAATCGCCTGGGCGGCTTTGCCGAGACCTCTGCTGCTACATGGACGGCAGGGGCTTTTCGAGATCCATTTCGGCTCCAGATCCAGATCCACTTCAGATACACCCAGATCTCCTTCAGCTGAACAGTGTGCAGCCATTCATCTAGATCCTCTTCAGCTGAACAGTGTAAATCTATCCATCCAAATCCACTTCAACAGCTGGACAGTGTCCGTCCATCCATCCAGATCCTCCTTTGGCTCAAGATACAGATCCACATCAGATCCATGCATCTAGATCTGCCTCAGTGGACGGTTTCCACTCATCCATCCAGATCCCCTTCAGCTGGACAGTGTTGTGTCGATGGCAGGTTGTGGACTATGCAGTCTCCGCTAAATGTGATACCAAGGGACTCTGGGTGTCTCCAGACATTAGAATTACGGGGTACCCGCAATCAAAGTATTCTGTCGTAAAAAAAAGAAAAACCTGCATGGCATGTGCAAATAAGTTTAAGGACGGAGTGCAACGGAACCTTTCACGAGAGTGGAGTACTCGTCAAGCTCAAATTTAGTAAGTGTAGGTTGCTGGTAAAAAATGCTAGAAAAGAAAAATTTGTTATTCCCACACACATAGAGAGAAATGCAAACAAACTGAGTGGCATGGTGCTGCTACTCACAGGCTTATTTGTATGGGTTTGTTTTCTTTACTGTGGAAGAGCACTTGCAGACACCCTGTGGATCTGTATCAGATACTCAGTGTGCGTGTGTGTGGTGCATTTGTTGGAGTGAGCACCTCTTGAATGGAGAACTGTCAGTGGACTGTTCTTCAGAAGTGGGGCAACAGCACATAATCAATAGCTTCATTCGATTTGCCTGCGCCTCCTGCACCGGCATAAAAAAGTGTAGGGCAGTGTACTTCCGGTCGTATCTCAATACACAACTGTATTGAGTGAGTAGTGGAAGTACAGCTCCCCTACACTTTTCTGCACCGGTGCAGATAAATCAAACAAAGCTAGGATGTAATGGAACCCTGACATTCCAAAGGGAGTAAGTGCTGAAAGAAAGAACTGCTGCTTGGCACAAGCTTCTGTGGCCACTTGCACATATTTCGAGTTAATTTAAAGGCCGACGCACAACCTCGGTATTCTGCAGGGAAGGTAATCCTCTTTACGCCCCTCTCCTAAGCCAAAAGTGGAAACCGCGAAGTGAACGTCGGCCTTCAAGAGCGATATAAATCATGAGCTCATTCACTTTTCAAATAAATTTTTTATTTTAATTGAGTTTTCAACGTTGATTTGTTGCTTGCAGTTTCGCGTTTCGCAGTCGGTTGCCTGTGGAGAAGTTCCGTTGCGATGTTGTTTCGTTTAGCTTGGAACGACGGAGGCACTTGTTGCGTGTAAGCAACTCTGTACCGGCTCGTTAAATGGCTGCCTGATACCTGATGTCTCAAACAACTCAAACACTCGAGGTTTGATGACTGGAATTCATCGAACTCGACGTAAGTAGATTGCTGCGTTCGTATTTAGGTCGTTCGGCTTGCCCAATGTATTTCGCAAGAAATCGCGGGTTTGTCCAGGGACAGTCGTAACGTCTGTGGGTAGTGCCTGTCGGGACTGGCGTCCTTGCGCTAAGTGCCTGCTCCACAGTGCGCACGGCGCCCTTGGCCCGTACCGATTCCCTCGCATCGCAGATCGCCGCTCTTCGAGCAGACGGATTACTTTCCGGGGAGTGGCCGGAGAGATCAGAGTTCTGTGGCAACAAAACTAAAGCTATGCCCGCTAGCTTTTCACTTGCAAAGTGCCACTAAAAGTTGGCGGCCCCGAGAAAGCTGCACGCGGTTTGCAGGGGGGCGGTGCGACATGTATGTTACAACGTGCTCAAACAACACGTTCCACGTCCGACTGGCAGTTGGAAAACCTCGCTGCGAAATATCTCGTGGAAAGTGTTTCGTGCGGAGGCGAAGCTACAACGAGCGCATTTCGAGGGTCGCTGCTTCGCTCGGAAAGGTCTAGCGCGACGAGGGAGTCTCCCAAATCGGTGCACGGGGTCTCGAACGAGATGCGGGATGTGTAAACTGGTTTACGTAGTTTGAACGACCAAAGGTTTCGTCAGCTACGTGCTTTCGCGGCCATATGCTTGCGGGCCACGGAGTCGACGCTTTTACAATCGAAGGGCTCAAGGGGACAGCGCGCGCGCGCGCGCTTTCGCAGTCGGACCCCGTCGACGTTCTACAGAGTAGCTTCCTTTTCAAGTTTCCGCGTCCGCTTTCTTCCAGGTTATATTTAGGAACAACGCGAGGAGTGATGAGAGAAATATGTTTCTCTGAACAGCAGGTTCGACAGCGTGGGCTGTTTTTTCTTTTTTCTTTTTTTTTTTTTAACTTTACTTTTCCGCTTTTTGTTTTCGCCGCAGAAGGAGGGGTTTGCACCTATTTAAAGCTAAAACATTATTAGCTAGGTGGCGCAAGCTAAAGCCTGATTCAGAGGGTTCATCCGACCTCCAAGTACTGCGAAAAGCGTGCGCTGTTCAGTAGCACACTAGCGTGTGCTGTCGCCTCCACAAGCTTGAGTCATTTAAATGCTTGTAAAATAAAGTTTTTATGCAGGCAGAAAGGTGGTTCTAGGTGCTGAGGGTAGAAGTGAAGCAAGATCCATTCTTCTAAGCAAAATAGATAACCTTTCTCAGTCGTTTTCGGTTTTAACTACCTATGTGAAAGCGAAGTAGCCAGCCTTGTCCATTGATCCCATGAATTCGATGTCACTGCTCCAAACAAACCATTGCTAGGGGCATTGCGATGGACGAATACGTAGGACAGGATTTCGCTCAGAAAAGAACCAAACATGAAATTTAAACATCCAGAAATAATAGATAAAGAAGGAATAGATTTATAATAATAATAATAATAATACATTTTATTTCCGTCGATTGTGATGGTGGGACCCGTGGAAAAAAGCTGCGATATGCAGCTTGACTGGTCCTCGGGTCCCTACAATGGCCAGCAGCAACGGAACGGAAATAAAAATTAAAAATAAAAAAAAATACACACAAAAAGTAACAATTGAAGGATACATAACTACGCACTTGCCTGTTTTTTGAAGCAAATAGACAAACACAAAAAGCAACAAGTAAAATTTACAAAACTATGCACTCTTGCCTATTAATGGAGCAAAATAAAACAGAAAATTGAAATTGGGTACAAATCGGGAGCAAAAATGCAAACGCAATTCTTTAGATATTTTAGAGTCAAAATCTACACCATCAATATAAAAATTATTTAGCAAGCGTGTTAGGGCAATGTTAAGCATTTGGAGACCATAGTTCGTTCGCTGAGTGACCATCTTCCACTTCTCCGTGCCGCGAGTGGGATATGCTGGTGAATTTTCCTGTAAACCTGCAAGGTTTTCTAAAAAACATGAGCCCCTTATTTTTTCCCTCCTGAAACTAGCACATAGTCTATAATCGTATAACTTGTAAATAGTAATTTCTTAAAATTTCTAAATATTTCAGAAGTGTGAGCATCATAAGGGACATTACATATGCTTCTTAATATTTTTTTTTTGTAACAAAAACAGTTTTTCCATATTGGTTAGTGTTGATGAACCCCATACTAGATGGCAGTATATGAAGTGAGAGTGAAATAGAGAGTTCTAAACTAACAATTTAACATTCGTGGGCAACAGAGAACAGTTGCGATTTAGGATCCCAATTACTCGGCATAATTTTGGAATAAGATAATTTATACGACAATCCCAGGACATGTTCTCATTAAAAAATACGCCAAGAGTTTTGAAGGAACTAACTATTTCAATTGGACAAGAATTTAAGCTCAGTGATCTAGATAAAACCACAGACTTGTTTTTTGGATGAAAAATTATTGCTTTTGTTTTATTAATGTTTACCTTTAAAGAGTTACAATCGCTCCAGGATTTTATCTTTGATAAAGTGTGGTTGGCCATATCTATTAAGTCATCACCTGTTTCGGAAGAAAAAAATATGCTTGTATCATCCGCGTAGTTAACAAATTTTGCTTCCCTGTTAACGTTAACAATGTCATTTACGTATAAGTTAAAAAGAAAGGGTCCTCAAATACGAACACCTGAGGTGATGGGTTTTACCGTGGATGAGTTACTGTTGATGCATACGAATTGTTTACGATATTGCAAGTAGGACTGCAAAAGCAACAGTGCCTGTCCACGGATACCTTACATTTCAAGTTTTTTAAATAAGACATCATGACTTAGGCAGTCAAATGCTTTCGTGAAATCTAAAAATAACCCTAGCACTAATTGTTTGTTTTCAAAATTTTTTAAAATGAATTCTTTTTGGGTAAGTAACGCTGTTTCAGTGGAACAGTCCTTCCGGAAACCAAATTGAGAAGAGGTAATGGATTATATTTGTTTGAAAAGTTTAGTAAACGATGATAGATTAATTTCTCTAAAGCTTTAGAAAAAACGGGCAATATAGAAATGGGCCTATAATTGCCTAGCTCATTTTTATCGCCTTTTTTATATAAAACAGACACCTTTGCTATCTGCATTCGTGTAGGAAATACACCAGTTTCAAAAGAAAGATTAAATATATACGTTAACACGGGAGCAATTATATCGATGACATATTTAATTGGACGAATTTGCATTTCATCAACATCACAACTTGCACTATTTTTTTTGTTGCATTATCACATTTCTAACTTCTGTGCTGGTAATTGGCTCTAAAAAAATAGAATTGCAGTTCCTTTGCTGATTATATTTGCAGGAGTCGGAACCATCGACAGTGCTACCTAGATTTACAAAATGATTATTAAACACATTTGCTAAGTCTTTTCTGGTTACGTAAACACCTTTGTACAGTAACGTTTCAATGGTGTTTGACACAGGAGCACCCTTTACCGAAGAACCTAGATGCTTCCACATAACATCGGTGCGGCCACTTGATGCTGAAAAAAGGGAAGAGTAGTAACGTTTTTTTGCATTCTTTAGTTCTTTATTTAGGTTGTTTCGATAAGTCGTTTCGATAAGTCTTGAAAATATGAAGAGCGTCTGGATCGCGGTTTTTAATAAATCGATTATATAGAGCATCTTTTCTGCGAATCATTTTGAACATGGCGCAGGTTATCCACGGCTTTCGAATCTTTTTGGATTGTCTTATGGATTTATAAGGAAAGTGATGTCTATACAATTGAAGAACCAGTTCTAGAAATGTGTTATAAGCATCGTCGGCAGTACTTTGCTCAAGCACGGCGTCCCAATTTATAGCTGCTACGTCCCGTCTAAAGGCGTCGAGGCTGTTGATTTCTATATTTTGAATAAATATGGATTGGTTTTTTATTGCCTTCCTACGTAGATTATATTGCACCTGTAAAAATATTGGAAGATGGTCACTCAGGTCACAGCTAATTACTCCACTTTTTACTCTATCTAGGTGATAATTTGTTATAAATAAGTCTAAAACAGTTGTTGAGTGCAAAGTAATTCTGGTGGGATTATTGATTGTATTAATACACCCGTGCACGCCAACAAGGCTCTCCATTTTCTTTTTCGTGGCACTGTCAGAAATCATATTTATATTGAAGTCACCACCACAAATGACGTTATAATGACTCTCGTTCATAGCACTCAAAAATGATTAAAAAAATTCAAAAAATGCCGAAATGCTACCATCTGGTGGGCGGTAAACAACAGCAAAAATGTTCCGGTTTTTTCGCAGACACAATACTTCCACATCCTTCGTGATAAAAGTGTAGTCACTCAGAAGATCACAGTTTGTCTTCTTTTATTAGGAGAGCTAATCCTCCGCCGCGTTTGAAAGTACAATTTAAAATATAAGTTTTATACGATGGTAAACAAAATATTTCAAAGTTATCAATGTACCAAGTCTCGGTAAACATGATAACATCAAAAAGACCACTAAACTGATCGAAAAGAAGTTCAAGGTTAGTTTTCTTATTTACTGCTGATTGTATATTTAAATGAAAACAAGTAAAATGGGAACCACTTTCTTGCTCAAGGTGACCTATAAGGTCCTTAGGAAGCAGAGGAGTTTGGTTCGCCACTGAGGAGAAAAAACCTATTTTGAAACATGAAGGAAAGAATGCCCGGTTTACCTGCTACAACGAAGCAAGTCATCCTCGCTCCTTACGACAATCGGTCGGTCACCGTCCTGTTTTCTTGCCAAGATACTTCCGCTGCGGTGCCACACGTACCGAAAACCAGCCCCTCTAGCCCACTCCTTTGCCTTCCACAGTAGTTCCGTTTTTCTTATTCATGTTTTCGACAA